CCCCCCCACGACAGAATAAAGAGTCGTGGGAAAACGAGAGAGATGTGTTCACGACACCAGGAATGAGACACGAAAACCTCCTGAGGTTCATCGCCTCGGAGAATCGAGGGAGTCACCTGGAGGCCGAGCTGTGGCTCATCACCGAGTTCCACGAGAGGGTGAGGAGGAGGAGGGCGGGAGAAGGGGATGAAAGTATTGACTTTTCAAATCGTCGTCTGTGAACGTTGAAGAAAATCTGGCTCTGACATCAGAGATGTTTGATTGGCTGCAGAGATCAGAACCGATGTCTTTGAACGCACCACAGAGTCTGAGTGACGATGATGATGAAGATTTTACATCATAATTGAAACTAACATGTAAAACTGATCAGTGACCAGTCGGTGAGCTGCAGGTGAATCAGTGACATCTGAAAAACTTGGTATAATTATTATTTCACGTTTGAATCAAAAGCTTACAGCTTCAGGCCGCTAGCTGTGTTCTGAAGATGCTAGCATGCTAACAATTTTTTTAAGGTTGTTAAAAAAATGACCATAGTTTGAAACGATATTAAACTGAAGATATTCAAATGATTATCGGAATTTTTAATCTGCAGTCATGGAGAAAGTACCGGGTCTCTGTCCCGGCTAGCTGGCGATTCGCAAGGCATTCTGGGAAATTCTCATAGCCCTCGGTTTGAAGTGTGTGTCTGAAAAAATCAGTTTCAAGGGCCATAGAGTCTGAACACTTGGCCCCTCCCCCTTCATCCCAACAAGTATCAGAGGGGAGGGGCTAAGGGGTGAAATGGGACCTGGCCTCAATCTGTGTTTTTGTTGTGATGTGTTCAATGACTCATGTTTAATCAGATGTTAAATATTTTACTGTCTGACATCACAACGTTGTGATGTAACTCTGAACACTGTGATGTCACTGTGATGTCACTGTGATGTCACTGTGATGTCGTTCTGAACGTTGTCTCCTCAGGGCTCCCTGTGCGACTTCCTGAAGGGAAACGTGCTCAGCTGGTCCGAGCTGTGTCACGTCTCAGAGTCGATGGCGTGCGGCCTGTCTTACCTCCACGAGGACGTCCCCCGACAGAAAGGAGAGGGACCCAAACCAGCCATCGCTCACAGGTCAGCTCCCCGCAGCACGCCACCGCCACACAGCTGATCGAGACCTGTCCACAATAACAAGGGTGTTCCACATGGTGTGTGTCTGTGTGTGTGTTTTAGGGATTTTAAGAGTAAGAACATCATGTTGCGTTCGGACCTCACCGCCGTCATCGGTGACTTTGGTCTTGCCGTTCTCTTCGAGCCGGGAAAACCACCTGGAGAGACACACGGACAGGTGAGCTGCTCCGATTGGCTGAGAAAAGATTACGATACATGAATTATGATGTGTGTGAATGTTGTAATTGTGTGTGTGTGTGTGTGTGTGTGTGTGTGTGTGTGTGTGTAGGTGGGGACTTGGCGGTACATGGCTCCAGAAGTTTTAGAAGGAGCCATCAACTTCCAGCGAGACGCCTTCCTGAGAATCGACATGTACGCCATGGGTCTGGTGCTGTGGGAGCTGGTGTCCCGCTGCAAGGCTGCTGACGGTAACACACACACACACACAC